GCCAATGGGACCCCAGGGAGGTGTCCATGGCCCTTCCAGATTGCCCTTAAAAGGAAGGAGTGGTCTCCACCCTTTAGGGTGCCTCTAACACTCACAGGAGAGAATGGGGAGGGGAAGACTCCTCCACGGGATGGGAGAGACAGACGGAAGCAGCACGGGCCCTGGACCCGCTCCCCCGGCGGAACCCCTTAGATCGACACATGGAGGGAATCAGCTCCTCTCTCCTCTAGCTTGGGGTCCTTGGGTTTTCCTAGACTCGCTGTGCTGTATCCTAACAGAGACCCTAAGCTCTGAGAAGGAAATCCACATCTGCTGGGAAGGGGTGAAGGCAACCCTTGAAGATCTCAGGGCCTGTGCCCAAAACCACTGGGCTGAACACGCACACGGGTGATACTCCATCTGTGACTCGGTGCCGGGGGGGGGGGGGGGGGGGGGGGGGGGGGGGGGAGGGGGGCGAGATGAGTAAATGAACAGTGGCCTGGGGTGCCTTCTAGGAAGGATCTAACCCTAGATTCCAAGCCCTAAATGTGATCCATTTCCCTGGTAGGAGCTCAGCATTTAACTTCTAATTCCTATGCCCAACATTCAAAGATGATCGCACTGACAGTGTTGTGCAGTTTATAAGTGGCTTCATATCCACAGTCACAGTTAACCTTGATCCCTTCCTATGAGGTCAGCAGGGGAGCACCCCTCTTATTCCCATTTTGCAGACGAGGAAGCAGTATCTGCACACATTACCTAGTGCATAATAACTGCTCAACATATGGCAGGTCATCTGGTTCCTTTAATCATGTTTTCTTAGTAATATGCTACCACTGAGGATTTTTTAAAATATCATTTTTAGGGACGCCTGGGTGGCTCAGCTGGTCAAGCGTCCAACTTCGGCTCAGGTCATGATCGCACAGTTTGTGGGTTCGAGCCCCGCGTCGGGCTCTGTGCTGATGGCTCAGAGCCTGGAGGCTGTTTCGGATTCTGCGTCTTCCTCTCTCTCTGCCCCTCCCCTGCTCATGCTCTCTCTCTCAAAAATAAATAAACATTAAAAAGATAAATAAATATCATTTTTAAAGAACAGAGGGATGTGGGAGTGCAGTGGGAGAAGCCCATGTGGAGAACTCAGGAGATCCAGTGGCCACTGGACGGCTTGATGACCTTGAGATAACGCTTCCCCTCTCTGATACTTATTCCCCTGGTGTAAAATGAGGAAGTTGGAGGAGATGGCCCCTTCCCCCATTCTCATTCTGGGTTCTGCCACCACTGTTGTTGGGGGTGGCCAGAGTCCCCGCTCACTGAGGGCAGAAGCAGCCCCCTAGATGGGGGGGGGCAGCTATTCCCTAGCCCTCTGCCAGCATTTCCCAGCTCCGTTCCTGAGCCTGGCTCTGAGTCCTGGGACTTCACGCGTGGCTCTCTGAGCCTCAGTTTCCTCATCTGTAAAATGGGAATGATAGTAAAAGTAAGGACATGGCTCACAGAACCATTATGTCAATTACATGCATTTATACATACAAAGTACTTAATACAGAGCCTGGGTAACTGTCCCGTTCGTGCTTTGGGAATTAGGGTCAGCGATCAGCAGTTATCAGTAATATATTATGAGTCACTATAATGAACGGTTAATGGAGGTTTATAGATGATTGCAAGAGAAAAGAGGACATTGGAGTGTCAAGAAATGGCAGTTCTGTTGGAAGGCCAAGGGTGGGGTCTTGATTCAGTCCCCCTGGGTGCCTCTCCAGGGTCTGGGGGTTCCCAGTCTGGGCACCTTCCCTTGCGACCTTCCTTCCTTATTAATTTTTCCCATCAGCCCCACTTGGGTTGGTGGATTACATTAGGAACGGAAATTCCCAGTCTCAACGTTGAAAAATATCTCCAAGTTGCCTCAGCCGTTCCTTTTCGTGAGTCATGGCTCTGCACATACACCCACCAATCCTTGGATGCCTCCCCAGCTGGGTCACTCACTACCTATAAGACTGCCCTATCAGTTTATCTTGTGAGGCAAAACCGACCTCCCAGGGCAGCCTCTGCTGGTTCTGCCATCAGGGTCTTCCCCAGAACAAGTCCACACCCTCTGCTCTACCCGGCCCCTCGGGCCACAGGAGCTGTGGCCACTAAATTAGCTCCTCCCCATCTGAAACCTCCCTAGTGCCTCGATTTCCCTCCTAAACTTCCGATTTCCCTCTTAAACTTCCGTCTCTGAGGGCACCTGGGTGGTTGGGTCGGTTAAGCTTCTGACTCCGGCTCAGTCACGATCTCATGGTGGTTCGTGAGTTCGAGCCCCGCGTCGGGCTCTGTGCCAACAGCTCGGAGGCTGGAGCCTGCTTCGGAGTCTGTGTCTCCCTCTCTCTCAAAAATAAACATTAAAAAAGTCTTTTTAAAAACCTCTCATCTCTGGATGTTCTCATAAAAGCCTTGCAGGCTATACTCCGGCAGACTATGTTCCTCCCCTGGCTTCCCCATTCCCCAGTGCGGCGTTCCCTCTCCAAGTCAAGTGGTCTCCGCAGGCCTCAGTTTCTCCACCAGTAAAATGGGGTATAACTGTCCTGACCTCTTAGGGGTTTTTTTTGTTTTGTTTTTTGAGTGTCCAATGAGGTCAACTCTCTGAAGCCACAGAGCCAGTCCCAGGCATACAGTAGGTCTTTAATAAGTGTTCGAAACAACTAGCTCTCAGCTGGAAGATGAGCTTGAATTAAAAGCTAGAATTAGGGAGGGATGAATCCCCTTTGTGACAGGTGCTTGGTCCAGATGCAGCATTTCGACCTTTCTGGTCCCTGAGTCAAGGAGTCTCAAACTCCACTGAGCTTTACCGTACCCGAGGGAGCTGTGAAATGCAGAGTCCCAGGCCCTGGGCTCGGAGTGCTGATTCAGTGTGTCTGGGGAAACCCGGGAACGTGCAGTCTAACATCCTCTCCACTGCGGCTGCCGCCCTTCCTCCCAAGCCGGGAACAGTTGTCCCTCCGGTGTGGTGCCGATGCCAGTGCTGAGACCCAGAAATGAGAAGCCAAACCAGACAGAACCGGCCCCTGCCCCCGGGGAGCTCACCGCCTGACAGCGGGTCCTCCCTCAGGGTCAGTCGAGGAGTCTCCTCCATTCTGGAATGAGTAGGGACAGCTGCGGGAATTTAAAAGGTCAGATGAGACCTACCTCCTGGCACTGTGTGGTTGTGGTCACAAGACAGAGCGTCTCCTAGGCTGGAGCCTTGGGGCATGAAGGCCTTGGGAGGAAGGGGCACAGCCTGGTCTGGAGGCAAAGGCTGGTCCGTCTGACCTTGCCTGTGCGGGGTGGGGGTGGGGCAGGGGAATGAGGTGGGGGGGGATATGTTTTCCGTCCCTGAGCTTTATTTCCACCTCTGCAAAGGGTAACAATGGTGCCAGCCCCCTGCGGGGGGGGGGGGGCCTTTAGCGGCCAGGGGCACTGCCAAGCACCCACACCCGGCCTCCGGCTCAAATGTGTGTTCTGACCTTCACATTACTTTTCTCACAGAGGGTCCCCAAGACGGTAAAAGCTTTAGGCCCCACAAACGAGGGCCAAGGCCCGCCTAATGCAGGTGCTGGAAGATTTGGTGACAAGACAGGGGACCCCTCAGCGGGCCTGGGTCTGGGAACGGAAACTCCTTTAGCTTCTGAACCTTGGAGAGAGAACACACGGCACCCTGGACAGGAGGGAAGCTTGTCCCTGGAGGGGCAGGACTTTCCTGAGCTGAGCTCCACTTCTTTTCAGACAGCCCCCTGCCCACATGCCCTCAGGGCGGCGAGCCTCTCCAGCCCAGAGTGGAGGCAGAGAGGAGCAGGCTGGAATCAGAATGGAGGACAGGGAGGAGGGAGGGGGCTGCAGGGGAAGGGAGGGGAGGAAAAGGGAGAGGAAGAGAAGGGGAGGGGAGGGGAGGGGAGGGAAGGGCAAGGCCTCCACCGCAGACCCCTCTGCTGGCATACGCATCAGCCTTTGAAGGGCTAGGCTGGTGAGAAGCCAGCCAGAGCTGAGGGCCCTGGACAGAGGCCTTGAAGTTGACATGGCTTTGATAGTGACCTTCAAATGTCCTAAACCAGAGAGGATACAGGTTATCCAGAACCCACAGGTGGGGTCGGGGTAGAAGGGATCCCGGGGGGCCTGAACATGTTCCCTTCCATATGAGGAGGGCACCCACCCCCACCCCCCCACTCTGTGCCAGGCGCTCCCCAGGCGCCCATCTCGCCGCCCGCCGCATCCTCACGTCGCTTCCTTCGCTTCCTCTGCTCCTTTCCATCCCGCCCAAGAGGAAGTAGAGGTTCAGAGAGGGCACGTCTCTTGCTTAAGAGGGCACAGCAGGGGCGAATACAATACACAGAAGGATTTGGACCCAGCTCGAACTCCAAATTCCAGTTCTTAACCCTCTCCTACCACGGCTCTCTCTGTGGGCTCGGTGGCAGCAGAGGGCTCGCAATAAAGATGGGAAGGAAGGAAGGAAAGAATTCACAGGCCAGGCTATTCCCACGCCACCCCCCTGCCCCAGCCAGCTCCTTCCCGCCAGCCCCCTCGCCCCCCTCCCCCGGCCTAGCAGGGAGGTTTCTGAGCCGCCCATCCTGCTTCTGCGGGTTCCCCCGCGCTCCTCCCGGAGCCCACCCCGAGGCAGCCTTCTCGAACAGGACCCCCGGCCTGGGGACGCCTCCTGACCCCCCCCCCCCCCCCCCCCCCCCCCCCCCCGCCCAGGCCTCCGGCGGGGTGGTCTCGGCAGCCGCCTCCTCCCTCGCCACCCTCCCCTTCCCCGGGCAGCTAAATAATTGATTCGCCCATAAATAATTGATCTGTGCTGCGCGCGCGCCCTCTGCCCCGGGGGGTGCGGGGTTCCCCGTTAGGGTTCAGGGAGGGGGACGCGGGGGAGGGGACGGGCGCCGCTGTGCTGTGCGCGCAAGTGGCGCACAGTTTCGCTCCGCGGGCCTTTCTCTCTCCCTCTCGCTCCCTCGCGCCGGCTTTTTCCCCTTTTTCTTTTTCCTTTTTTTTTTTCTTTCCTGGAGCGGAGCCCGGCGCCAGGAGTCTGGAACCAGCTTGACAAGCTTTTGAGTTATGGAGGGAGGAGGGGAGGGAGCGGGCGGGCGGCGCGGGGAGGGGAGCGAGGAGCGGGCAGGGCGCGCCGCGGCGGCGTGGGGGCGGGGCGCGCGCACCCCCACCCCGGGGGACCCTTCCCGGCTTCGGGCGGGCGCGGGGGCGAGGGTCCCGGTGATGGCGGCCGGGCGGGGCGCGGGGGTCGGCGGCGAGGGGGCGGGGGTGAGTCATCCGCGGGCCCGGCCGGCGGAACGAGCCGGGCTTTAGGGCCGCAATAAACGAGGCCCGGGGAGGGCGGCCGGGTTTACGCGGCCTCGGGGGCCGCGGCCTCCCCCGCCGAGTAAGACATTCCTTTCCGCTGAACTGGGCGCCTGGGCCCGCGCCGCCGCCGCGCCCAGCACGCATCGCCCTAGGCGGCCGGGCCCAGGGCGGGGAACCAGCGCCGGCCGGGGGCAGGGTGGGGGACTCGCGGGAACAGGGAGCGAGGCCCGGGGTGGCCCCCTCTGGCCCCCAGCGTTGTCCCCCAGGAGTTCACTGAGCCCTCAACCGCCCCGGAGGGAAGGGATCGGTGTGCTCTTTTAACGGCTGGGGGGACCCGACCCCAGTGAGCGTGCTCACTGCTGCGGGGCGCTCAGCCGCCCCTCTAGGATGTCTGATTCACTCCTTCACTCTTTTGCCCCAGACCTGAGATTCTCCATTCACCGCCCGCACCCCCCACCCGCCCCGCCCCGCCACGTCCCCGGGTTTGACTTTGAGCCTGGGGGCTCAGGGTCAGGCACAGGGTAGAGGCACCCTAGCCATTGGGCTGAATTTGACCAGGGCGCTTTGCCAGGAGCCCCACTGCGGGACGCTAAGCATGCCTGTCCATCTGACCGTGCAGAGCCAGACAGCCGCAGGGGGGCGGGGAGGGGGGAGGATGAGGAGTGGGGGGGGGTGAGAGGTGCCTGGAGTTACTAGTTTACCAGGACCAGTAATAGAGAAGCGTTTCTGGACCCCTCGAGATCTCCAGGGACACCCAGTGTACCCCGAGAAGACCTTCCTATCAGACCCCAGTTCCAAGCATGCCTTCCCCTAGAGTTTCTGGTCAAGCCACGGTTAGCCTCTGTGTGCCTCAGTTTCCCTCACGGACCCCAGCATTTCCCCCACCCCAGCCACCGCTGGCCCCTTCCTGCTTTTCCAGCCCCCAGACCCTTAGTGACCTAGATCTAGCCGCTCCTGGGCTCTGGAATGTCACACGCACGGCTGTGGCTCCGCGGCCTGCCTTTCTCGCCCATCTGTGAGATGGGTTCGTAATGGGGCCAGCCCGGACAGGGTACTGGAAGGTTCCATGGAGCTACGGAAGTCAGCACAGGGCCTGGCACACAATAAGCGCTCAGTATGGGGTCCCTGTTGCTGACGCTGGTTGTGTTATTATTTGGGAGGCCCAGCTAGGTGCCCCCCCACCCCCACCCCCACCCCCAGCAGAGCTGGAGAAAACTAAGCCTGTGGCTCAGCCTGTCGCCTCCTCCCCGCCCCCCACGGAGCCGAGTGTCGAAATCTTCCCAGAGAAGCTGTTGAGCAGAAATTTCCAGTCTCCCTGGCAGAGCCTGGGAGAGTTAGGGTGCGGCTCAGAGATGCATTTGGGCAGCCACTGCAGGGCGGGGGCTAGGGAGGGACCCCGAGATGTTCTGCGAGACCCTGGAAGCACCCCAGCCCTGGAGGAGGGGGGGGTGCCTGACCTCCAGTGCCAGCCCCATAGAGCTGCTCCCGCACAGGCAGAATATCATTGTCCCCTGGGGTCAGTGGGGACTCGGGGCTTTTCCCCTCCTTTAGCGAGGCCCCTGTACCCTGAGAGTCTGGAAGACAAGATAACTGGGTTACTGGGAGGTGAGGGTTCAAGGGGATGGTGTGTGTGAGCCCTTAGCCCAGCTCCTTGAAACCCCCAAGTGGGGACTGTTTGCTTTAGTGACTGTCCCAATTGTGGGGGCCACCAGGCCTCCGAAGGGCACACTTGTTTGATTCCTTGGCTACCGGGAGGAGCCGAGGCCCCCAGACAGGATGGTGGGTCTCACTGGAGTGGTGGGGTCCCTGTCCCAAGTGGCCTGGAGAACCTGCGAGAGACCAGGCAGACAGCCTGAGCCTTGCTTTGCTCACAGGGCTGTGTAACCCCGGGTGAGAAGCTCAGCTCCTCTGGACCTTGTTCTCTCTGTTGGAAAAAAACAGGGACGGTGGTCTGTGACCCTCACTCCGCAGAGGGAAATAAGGAGCATTGAAGGGGGGAGGGAATGGGGGTCAGGTGCCAGCACTGCCCCAATCCAGATATGTGACCTCGGATAATCCCGGTGAGGCTAAAACCAGACCGAGTAACACTAATGAGTACGAATGAGCAGAGTGCATACTACTAATGAGTAGAACATGTCAGCTGCTCTCTGTTACCTCACAGTTACTCTGGGACGGAGTTTTTATTATGAACTTTATTTTCCAGAGGAAATCACCGAGGCTCAGAGAGGCCGATCCACTTTCTCAAGGACGCACAGCTAGGAAACGAGAACGTCGGGATTCAAATCCTGATCTGCGGGCTGAATCCCTCAAGGAAAGCAGGTTAAATGTTTTTAGACGTAAAACATTTCAAGCGCCTACTATGTGTAAGACCATTGAGGTAAGTGGTAATAAGGATGCCTGGTCTGGTTTCGGTTCAGGGCATGATCTCACGGTCCATGAGTTCGAGCCCCGTGTCAGGCTCTGCACTGGCGGTTGGAGTCTGCTTGGTATTCTCTCTCCCACCTCTCTCTCTGCCCCTCCCTTGCTTTCTGTCTCTCTCTTTCTCTCAAAAATAAATAAACATTTAAAAAGAAAAAAAAAAGGAAAGGAAAGCACCAGCATCTACGTGCCTCCAGGGCTGTGGGCGCACCAGGAGGGTCCTGGGGGGTGGCATGGAGATGGTGAGGGAGGGGGCTGAGGGAGGAGCCCCAGAGGCCAGGGAACAGGGAAAGCTGGTCGGGAGCAATACAGAGGCATTTCAGTGGAGGGCACAGGGCTGGCCCAGCAAGGGCAAAGTCATGGCTGCCTGAGATGTAACCCCACTCGGGGGCGTGGCGGACCGTGGTGGGGAGAAGCAGGAGGGGCGTGGCTGAGCCTGGGGCTGGGCTGCAAAGGCCTTAGACCTTTGCTCGGTAAAGATGGGGAGCCGGCAAAGGTCTTGAGCAGGGGCGGACATTGTTCTGGGGTGGGGGGGTTAGAAAGATAATTCTGTAGGCAGTGAAATATCCTGGAAACACACACACAAAAGCACTGGAATGGCAGGGTCAGGCTGCACTGCACAAACTTTTACAGTGCTTCCTTTAAAAACATTGGTGGGTTGTTGTTTTTTTTCCTTTGCCTTGTACAGGTATAATTATTCCCCCAAAAAGGACACGTTCAAAAGGGAAGAAGGAAGCTGAGAGGCAGAGAGAGACGTGGGAAGCTGCAGCCGGAGAGAGCCAGGATTGGTGGGCAGGACGCCTCTCTGACTGCTGGCTCTCCGGCTGTTTGAGTGATGGGCGATCTGGCACGTGGGGCCACGGAGGGGAGGGGCTGGGACCCTCCCCTTACCTAGAGCCTTCTCCTGGCCTGACTGGTGATGGTGGCTTCAGCCTGCCCCATCCCTCCCGGACATCTGTCCTCACCCCCCTCCCCACTGGCTGGGCTGTGGGGCACAGGCTGATACTCCAGTCCTTCTCTGTGCTAAATGGGGCAGTTGTCCCAGGGGCCTCCCTGTGTCCTTGAGGACAGACTTTCTGTTCCCTGTAGCAGCATCCGACGCTGTGCTAGTTGCTTTACGGACAGTGTCTCTTCATCTGGATATAATCAAATAAAATGTTGCTCTCTCCATTTAACAGATGGGAAAATGGGGGCTCAGTGGCTCGCCCCCTCAGGCTCTCACAGTGAGGAAGGAGTGGGATTTTTATGGGGGGGGGCACCCGAGAGCCCCTACCACTGGCTGTACTGCCACAGGCTCTTCAGGAGAACATCTATCTCTCGGGTCTCCCTAGATTTGGAGCCTTGGACCTGCTCTGACCCTGGATTAGGGGCTCCTGTCACCCCTCTGAGCCATTCCCTCTGCCTGGGGTTCCTGCCTCCCCTCTCAGAGCAAACTCCTACTCTAACTGTGAAACCCAGTGAAAGCATTCTTTCCTCCCCAGAGAACCCCAGACTACCCTACAGTCCCCTTTATCTGTGTTCTGTGCCTGTAGAGCCCCCCCTCCCCCACCCCGGGGGAGAGGAGAAAGGGCTCAGGAGACACAGTTGCGAGGAACGTTCCAGCCCAGCCCCCAGTGACAGAGAGGAGGGAGCAGTCAGCTTGTTTGGGGAAGAGTGGGGCGGGGTGGACGTGAGAGGGAGCATGGCCTTGGCTCAGTCCGGGGACAGACAGATCGAGCCGCCCCAGCGATCATTTGGCTTAGAGGCTGGAGAAGGAGTTCAGATGGAGAGAGAAGCACAGATCGGGGCTGCCTAGCACAGCCTCGCGGGCTCACCTGCCCGGCCCCCGTAGCATCTCTGCGGCAAGGCTGGGCGTGGGGAACGGTCTTTTGTGCACAGGTGTCCCTAGGCCCCCCCACCCCCCAGAGCATGCGCACACAGAGATGAAAAGCCCCCTTTGAGAGCCCAGAGACCCCCATCCCGGGAAGAGCTGACCAGAACTGAGAACAGAGTGGTGCGGGCCCCTTGTAAACTCAGAGAATCCCCGGTGCCAAGAACAGCGTAGGCACATAGTAGGCACGCAGGACTACATAGTAGGTACATAAGTGTATGTTGACGAGCAAATGAAAGCATGAATGAATGCCTGACCCCAGCCCGGGGAAGAGGGCCACGAGCCTTGAGTCTGTCTGTCTGTCCCCTTATAAAGTAAGACTCCCTGCACCCAGGGAGCCCCGGATGTCCAAGGTGGCTGGGACAGGCTTTGGGGGTGGCAGAGGATGGGGTGGGGGGTAGTGGGAGAGCCACAGAAAAGTGGCCCTGCTTGGGAGGGATGCAGACAGTGAGCCATGTTCCTGATGAAACACCCCTTCTGATACCCGGGCCCGGGCAGCGCCTGGGGCCCTGAGGAACTGTCGGGCACCCCCACATCACCGCAGTGGGGACCTCCCCATGCAGGAGGCAGCCTGGTGAGGTCATTAAAGAAAGGGGCTCCGGACTCGGACATTTCTGAGCTCCAGCTCCACCACTTAACTAGCTGGGCCATTTGCCTCAGTTGCCCCATCTGCAAAGGGGGCTGATAGCACCACCTGCTGCGCATGGTGCTGGGAAGGTCACATGAGAAGTCCCGCCCTCTGTCTGCCCTCGTTCTAAATAGCCGCGCAGGAGGGTGGGGTGCAGGGAGATAGCCGGACAGCCGGGCCGGCTCTGGTCCCAAAGGGCCACTGACAGGGACCCAGCCTCTCACCGGGCCTCAGTTTCCCTGTTTGTACAGTCAGGCCCTGCTAACCCGGACTGCCCTGCCCCTTCCCCAAGCCCAGGCAGGACCCCCACGGGCAGCCATCTTCTCCAGACCTGCGCACCGCCCCTGGGGTTGCCCAGAGACACGCGGGTGCAGCTGTGCCTGCGCGCACACACACACACTCCCGTGCAGCGTGCACACAGACCACATTTGCAGGCATGTAAGTGTGCACACGGACGCACTCACACATAGGGTCACGCTCACACAAGCAGACACACAGGCAAAACGCACACACATTTACACACAGACCTCGCAGGCACCTCCCACACTCAGCCCCCCAGCCTGCACCCTGGCCCTTGCCCAGGCACCCACACCTGCTCACACTCATGCTCACACTCACCCCACCCCACCCCAAATCTGCTGTGCACCAACTGTTAGTGCGGGAGGGGCTGGGAGCGGGAAGGAAAAAAACCCACGACTCAGCCGGGAAAGAGGGGTGCGGGGTGGGAGGGGGGTGCGCGGGCGAGGGAAATGACAGCCCGCGGTCCCCCTCGAGTCCCGGCTCATGAATATTAATGCAGCGGTAATTAAAATGCAGGGACGCAGCAGGCTGGATGCGGCTGCCTCCGGGGCGCTGGGGAGCGCCGCGTCCTCGCCGGCGGGTGGAGCCCCGCTTCTCGCTGGCGAACGCGGGATCCGGCCGCGGGCCCGGGTTCGGGGTTCGGGGCTGGGGGCCGGGGTTCGCGGCGCACCCCTCCCCACCCCCGCCCGCCGCGCCCCTCCGCGCTCCGCGCCCGAGCCCGGGCCGCCCGCCAGGCCGCCTTTTCCCGGAGCCGGCCCCCTCCCGCCCTCGCGGCCCGGTGATGTCATCCGCACAAAACTTTCCGCTTCCCGGCCGGTCTCGGGGCCCTGAGTCATAGCCGCCCCCGGCCCGGGCCGCGCCGTCTGTTTGTGCAGAGCCGGGCCGCGCTGGCCCCGGCCTGACGTCAGGCTGGCGCGGCCTGGAACCGCGTGGGGCCCCCGTCAGCCGGCTGCTGCGGGCCGCGGGGGGCGTGGACGTCAGTCCTCGGGCCGCAGTGAAGGGCACAGCCTGGGGTGGGGGTGTGCACGCGATGTCACATTAATGCGGATCGCGGGATCTGGGACAGGCCCTTCGAGCTCTCTGAAATTCAGTTTCCTCGTCCGCCAATTAGCAAATCTTCTGAGACTTCTCAAGAGTGACTTGGGCAGCTGGATGAGCCCAGGCCCAGAGATGGAAAGGGACTCTGCCAAGGTCACACAGCAGATGGACAGCAAAGCTCTGCTTCCTGGGCCCCAGGGTCCCATGGGGAAGTCCATGGGGTGGCTGTTCCGATGCCATGAAGCTTCTGATGACCCGTGAAGGCAGGTGAGGAAGTCATTTAGTAGTCAGGTCACCTGGGTTCAAATCCTGGCCCTCTTCCTCCTTCCTTCTTCTGTGCCCTCAGGCCAGGCGTGCTGAAAGCATTAGCAAGGGCCCCACCCCCCAGTCTGTCACCAGAGCTGCACCTAGAGAGCCCCAAACATTGGCAGTCTTTTTTTTTTCAGGTTTATTTATTTATTTTGAGAGAGTGAGCAGGTGAGAGAGTGCACACGCGTGCACGAGTTGGGGAGGAGCAGAGAGAGAGGGAGAGGGAGAGAATCCCAAGCAGGGTCAGCACACAGCCTGAGGCAGGGCTTGAACCCATGAACCGTGAGCTCACTACCTGAGCTGAGATCAAGAGTCAGATGCTTCACCGACCGAGTCCCCCCAGGCGCCTCACAGTCGTCGGCAATTCTTAGACTCTTTCTTGGGCCTTTGGCACAAGACTTTGGGACCCAATTTAAAGCTGGGAACTAAAGAACATTTTGGCGGCTGACCGCTCCCAGGGGCTGAGTGGGGGTTGGGCGCAGGTCTGTAACCTCAGATGCGCGGCTGTGGGCTGTGGCTCTTCCCCAAACGCACCCCCAGGTTCACTCCGTGTCTGTCGTGGTGAAACTCCCCCGGTGCTCCAGGCTGCCTCTTCCTGCCTGAGGCCTTCGCACATGCCATTCCCTCCCCTCCGCAGGGAACTCTCGCCTAGTTTCCTGGTGAACATCTCCTCCAGCTTTCCTTAGCCCACCTCCCAGGTTGTGCCCCCAGATACAACTGACCCACATCAAGCACACACAGCAGCACACCCAGGCACAGACACACACGCACACACACTTGCACACACTCACACAGAGAACGTACGACACGCATCAAGGCTGTACCGGTGCCCCTCCTCTGGGCTCCTACAGCCTCTGATTTTGACCCCCCACCCCCACCCCCATCATGGTATTTATGCCCCGTCTTTTTCCGTCCCCTGCATTCTAGCTCAGAGCCTTGCATCGAGTCTCCTGCAGTCAGTGGGGGGACCCCTGGCCCCCTCCCATGGCCACACTGGTGGCTCACAGTCCCACTGCCATCAAGGCCCTTGCAAACGAGCACACACCCTGTTTCTGCTGGGGGTGGGGGAGGGCTGTCTTCGCTCCCTATAGAAGCTGCTCCTGGCCCGGCCTCTTACCCACAGGTCACTCTTACCTGGGCTTTGGTCAGCTCCCCTCCCACCCAGACGACAGCTGCTCAAGAGGAAGGACTCTGACCTTAAGGTCACTTCTGTCTCAGGCCTCAACTTCCTCATTTGTAAAATGGGATAACCCTGAAAGTGCCTTGCAGAGACTCAGAAACTGTCATTAGCACCGCCATCGGGGTCCTCCGAATTTGTGGGTGAACTGAGCTTTGGTGCGAGCAACCCCTAGGTGAGCCCCTTCCTCAGGTGAATGTCCCGATTATGTCCTTCCTGTGCCAAGCCCCAGAGCGGGGGGTGTCCACTTGTGGTTCCTGACAAATAGCAGGTGTTTTCTGTTCCAAGTACTGGACGCCCAAGGTCAGCAATCCCCCTCCAGGCTGAGCGTTTCAGGAAGACGCTTGGCCTCCCCCAGGGGGACTGGGCTGAAGCCACAAATCTCCTCCTCCATCCCGCACAGAGCCACCCTGGCTCTATGATCCTGCTGGGTTGGGAGAAACTTGTAGGGAAGGAGGGGGAGCCCCTCCTGGTGGGTGACCGGAATCAGGAGAGTAAGGAAGGTGGATGAGGGACACTGGGAAGGGGCCGATTTGCCTGCTTCCACCAAGGGGCACCTATTTACGGGAGCCGGCCAAAGAAGACTTGCCCCACCCCCACACATGCCCGCCTCGGCCTCACTGCCCCTTGTGCACTGGGGGCCCTGCCTCGGAGCCCAGCAGCTCACCTGAGCTCAGACCTGAGATGGCACACACCGCCCCATTTGTAGAGATGGAGAAACAGAGGCCAGGGCGGGGAGGGGGCTGGGGGGAACAGCCACCTGCCGCTCGAGGGCTGTCATTCACAGGTGCCCACGGGACCCTCCTGTGTGC